GGGGGGGTGTATGTGTGCTTACGTGTGGCACGTGTATGATGCTTATGTGTGTATGTGGCATATATATTTGGTACGTGTGGGTGCGTGCGTGTGTAATTCAAGGACCAGCCCGGCAGAGGCAAGAGGGGCGAGCCTGAGCTCCACACCTCCAGGGGTGAGCAGAGGACAACTCTACCCTGAGTGAAAGAAGACACTCCCCTGCGCCAGCAGAGATCCTCCAGTGGCCCTCTTCTTTTTGCTCTGATGTCTATCTTTTTATTTCTAATTTTGATGATCTGGGTTTTCTTTCTCCTTTTTCTGATTTAAGTTGACTTCTGTTTTGTCAATTTTATTAGTCTTAAAAACAGCTCTTACATTTATTTATTAATTCAGTATTTTCACATTCTTAACTATTCTGGCTTTTAACATTATTATCTCTTCCTTGGTTTTCTTTGGAGGAAAAAGTAAGAGATCACAGAAAAGATCCGAGCCCACAGACCTGGATCCAGCCCATGCTCCCACTGACTGGGCGACCTTCAGCCTGTCCCCTTCTCTCTCTGCACCTAGCTGCATGTATAAAAAAAAGGGAGTGGGGCACTGGTCACTAAAGCCCCTCCAGGGCCCTCTGGCTGGAAAAGCGAGGAGGGCCCAGGGGCCTTAGAGACCCTCTGCTCCTCACCTTCAGGGCCTCCGACTGTCCCTCTCTCACTAGCCAGGAGCGAGGCAGGGCTCACAAGGGAAGAGCAGCCCCCCACCGAGGGCTGACGCTCGCCGGCTCTCTCCCTAGGGGTCTCTCCTAGGGTCTCTCTCTAGCTGTTTCCAAGTACATCTTTCCAACAGGATTCACCAAGGAGGGCTGGATTTAGCGCTACAGCATTGGGACCTCTGCCTTGGTCTGTGGGCTGACATTTGGGCAATGGTGTTAAATGCCTTTTCTCAAATGGTGGGGCGCTTCAGTGCCAAGCTCTCTGTTGTGTTTTAAAGGAGAACCTTCAGCAGTCTGGGGGGTCACGAAGCCCCTCCAGTTCCCTCCTCTGCGGCCTGGCACCCTGCCCCAACACTTCTCTACTCTCTCCCCTCTAGCGTGGTGCTCCTCACCTCCTATGGCCTTCTTTAAACAAGCCAACTGCACCTGCGGGTCCTGGGCCTAAATGGTGAGAAGAAAGGCCCCAAGCAGCCGCTGTCCTTCACACGTTTGTCTGCCTGGACCATTAGACTTTATAGTGGGCCTTACTCTAGCTTCCAATCAGCGTTCTCCTGACTCATAAGCATGAAGGTCGCCCTGACTAGCTGCGAGCCCCACAACTCTCAAACTGGCTGCATGGACTCCAGATGAGCGCCCAACCTCGGGTAGCTGCTGAAAGGCGCCCACCCAGAGAAAGGGAGCAGGGACTACAACAGACTTACTTGAGGTGTTCCCCAAAGGTGGTGGTTATCCTGTAGATGGCAGTTTTCAGGGACGCGCGGAGCGCAAACCTCAGAGTCTTATAAGAAGTGTCCACAAGGCTTCCCGAGAGCCTGGGCGGTCGGCTGGACGCGTGCGGCAGCTTGAAGTGTTTGTCGACTGCCTAACAGACAAGGGGAAGTTGCTGGCTTAGAACCGGCTACCGAGGCCTGGTTCACAGGATCAAATCACATCTGGGCTCCCGAGGGATTAGATGAGAAAAAGGCTACTCAGTGGCAGGACGCCTTCAGCAAGAAGAGAATCACATCCTTCTGGGACGTAAACTCTTGGTCCCAAGTCACGCCACAGAAGAGGCTCCCGGACCTTCCTCCTCGGCTTGGCTCATTATCCAAGACACACCGAGGCTGGTCACTGTCCTATGCACCCAGGCACTGGCACCTTGGCCTTGATGCACAAGCATCTTTTAAAGCAGTTACACACCAGGCGCCTCCGAGAGGATGAGTGTGTGCCCACACTCGGGAGTGTGCAAGGCAGGTCTGGGCCTTAGACCTGGGGCCTCGCTGATGCGGGGCCCCACGCACACCTGGATGCAAAGGGGAGCCATCAGAGGGCGGGCAGGTAGGTGTGCACGTGGAGCTAGGCCATCACAGAGCGAGGCCAAAGGCTTGCCCTGAGCACAAGCAGTAAAACCACCTGTGAGGTCCCTCACCAGGGCAGATTCAGCAGCAGGAGGCTTGGGACACTGCAGGGACTGGGTTCGGATCCCCCGTTGACGCTCAGGAGCTGCTCAGCCTCAGTGCCCTCCTCTGTGGCTGGGGGCAAGGTCCCCAGAGCCCTTCTCTCACAAAACTGCTGTGAGGCCTGAGCAGTGCCCTGTGTGGGCACGGCGGTGATTGCCAGTGTCCCTCAGCCCCTCAGACAGAGCAAAAGCGGCATAGGACAGAAACAGCCCGCCCTCTCTGAGGGGCCGAGCCCAGGGCCAGGGAGGGTGGGCAGAAGAGCCAGGATTTCACCCAAAGGCTCCTTCCCTCAGTTCTGGTTACCCTGCAGCGCTCCTGCCATCTCTCAGCTTCAGGGGCCTGTGCCCGGCTCCTTCCCCCGCCCATAACCCAGATCCATCTTCCTCTCAGAAATCTCAAACTGGATGTCCAGCAGACATCTTAAATTCAACGTGTCCAAAATGGAACTCAAATCCCTTCCCACAACTCCTCTCCCCTCCTACCTTCCCTATTACTATAGAGGCAACACCGCCCCCCGTCCCTCAGGCTCACACCCCAGGAGTCATCCTCAACTCCTCCCTCTGACGCCCCCACATCCCATCTGTGGCCAAGGCCTGTCAATTTCACCTCTGCGCCACCTCTCGAACATGCTCCCCTCTGTGCTCTGACGATGCCCCCATTCTGGTGCAGACCCTCATCCCCTCACACCTGGACCATCCAGCCACCAAAGCCATCTTCCTAAAACACAGGTCTGCCCATGTCCCTCACCCCCACACACACTCCAACTCCAGTGACTCCCGATCGCCTCCAGATCAAACACATTCTCTGCTTGGCCTCCACAGCCCTCCATCACCGGCCCCCCCACTCCCCAGTCCCACCACACCCTCAGATCTGGTGACCCCGCCCTCCGGCTGTTCCACCAACAAGGCCTTCCATCTCTGGGCTCTGCACACTCTCCCCCGTGCCTGGTAGACGCCCCCCCTGCTGCACCCCAACTACTGACCTCCCTGGTCCTTCAGGTCCCAGCTAAGAGCCCACCTTCCTCAGGAAGCCCTCCCTAACCCTCTTCATTCCAGTGCCTTTCCTCTGTTCATCATCGCCTGTTTATCCCACACGAAACTCATCTGTACGTGTGTTTGCACGCCTTAGACCGTAAGCACCTTGAGGACAGGAACTGTCTTCTGCCTCTTTTTGTAGCCCCAGCACTCAGCACAGTCACCTGGCACAGAGCAGGCACTTAAAAAATGTTTGCCGATTGGCAGGAATACCAACAATAATCCCCGAGAGGCAGTGTGGCACGGAGGATCAGGAAGCCCTCCAAACCCGTGCTGGCCATGTGACTGTGGCTGGGTCACTGACATTCCAAGTGCCCCCAGCTCTGGAGCAGGCTTTGCTCTGGATGGGCACGGGGCGAGAGGTCCGTGCACAGCTAAACTCTGTTCCAAAAGAGAAGGCCCAACTCATTTGCACAGCACCTTAGCGGTTTGCAAGCATCCCATAAGGGAGGGAGTACCAGTAGGATTTCCCCATCTGCAAAATAGGAAGACTGAGGCTTCATGAGCTGAAAGAGATGAACCTCAAAAAGAGGTCACCCCCACAACAGTGCTCTCCCACAACTGTGGGCCCTCCCCGGTACGGGCCGTGTGTGTCCGTTCCTGGTCGGTCACAGGAAGCCAGGCAGAGGCTGCTCTGGGGGCCATGGCAATCATCGACTCCTGGGAAAAGACGGGCCCTGTCCATCCGCCGGAACCAGACCAGGGACCGAGGCCCTGTGCCGTGGGAGGTAGGCAAAGGGAGAGGCGCTGACTCTCCGCCCGCCTTTCTCTCCTCCTTCCCCACCCACACATTTTAGGCTGGTCAGGGGTGAGCCCTGGGCCTGCATCAGGACACAAGGAAGCGGTGCTCCCTGCACTGCCCAGGACCACAAGGAGGCTGACCACCAAAGTGATGGATCACTACAAAGGAAGGAAGGGGTGATGCCTTACTGCAGGGGAGGTTAAAGACTGCTCTAAGTTAGGTAATTTTAAGTTCCTGGCCCCGTCAGACGGAGACAGCCTCCATCTCCACTCCCCACCTAAACCCCCAGCCAGGGGCTCAGCAAAGGTTACCAGGAACCCATTCCCCAGCCAGAGATGCAGACAGACGGTACAAAGATGGTCTGGACAAAAGGGGCCACAGCCCCATCCCCCGCTGGGTGACCCTGGACAAGTCCTAACAGTAAACGAGTAGAGGGCTCTCAAAGGCAGGAAGGCAAGAAGGCCCCTCCGCAGCCACGGTGCTCAAAGGCCCGAGGTCAGACAGATCCTGTCCCTTGTTGATTGGGTGAGCTCGAGGAGGTCACTGCCCTTCTCTGAGGCTCAGAATGACCCCTCCCAAGGTGACCTTCGGTGCACAGCTTCCCACAGCAGACTCCCTTTTAGCACGAGGCAGAGAGCCGCCTGCATGTCTTACCTCTTGCAGCATCAGCAGAGTGCTCAGAATGGTGGGGAGCGTGGTCTGGACGACCCCAAACCTGTCTTCAGTAAAGGACGCTGCTACCAAGTGGGACAGACCTCAAAGGAGGGACAAACAAACCACAGGCTCTAATGAAATCAGAACAAGAACGGTATTTCCTCCCTTGGGGTCCCTTGCCTGGGCACAGGGCCCTCCTCAGGTGCCAAGCTGAGCCCCCGGAGCCCAGGGCGCCCCTGGCTTCCCCACTGTCCACGGAAGGAAGCCGAGGAGATGGCCTGGCCCAAGGCCGGTGCTTGGAGGCAGGACTCCCCACCCACCCACCCACCCAGGCTGGACAGACGGTCGCTGGGTTTCATGAAGTCTCGTTCTGCTCCGCCTCACCTCCTGACCTATGATGAAAGATGCTGTCCACCACCAGAGAAAGAACTGATGGCATCTGAACAGGGAATGAGGCATACTGGTTTATTTTCTTTATTTTTCTTGGTTTTTTTGTCTTGTTTTCTCTCACAACATGACTAATGTGGAGATGTTTTGTATGACTGAACACATAGAGCCTTTATCAAATCACTCGCCTTCTCAATGAGGGGGAAGGGGAAGGAGAGTGGAAGAAAATTTGGAACTCAAAATTATTAAAAAACAAAGGTTAAAAATTGTTTTTACGTGTAATTGGAAAAAAATGTATTAAAACTAAAAAAAAAAGAACACCTTACCTTCTAATGCCCAGATGTGCATTTGAGCATCTGAAAAAACTGCCTGGATGGAGGCCTCTGGATGCTAAAAACAAAGAGAAGAGAGTTTACTTTGGCGGTGGTGGCGGCATCAGCGGTGGCTGCGGCAGCAGACAGCGTGCTCTCACCCACCCACACACGGCCCAGACCTGGGGTCTGAGGGCACCAAGCAACAACCAGGACTTGGGAAACTGAGTCCCAGCTGCAGGCCCTTGGCCAAGCCCCTTCCTGTCTCGTCATCTCTTCCATCTGTAAAATGAAAAGTCTCAAATGGAGGCTTCCAAAGTCTCTCAGCTCCAAAACTCTTTGAGGCTTAAGAGGTAAATTCTAAGATGGATTTTTATATTTACATTTTAAAAATCAGTCGCCCAGCAATGTGGTGTCCCCAGTAGGAGCAGCAGTGATACCACCACTAGGCCTAGAGCTCAAAGAAAGAGGAAAAGGGTCCAGAGGTACAAAATATTTACAGCAGCTATTTTTTAAATTAACTTTTTTCTAATAAAAATCAATTTTCTCTCCCCTCAATCCCTCCCCAAAGACAAAAAGAAAAACAAAACCCCTTTAACCACATAACATTATCTCAACCAGGTACACGGTATGTCTCAGCACTGGTCCTCTGGGATCATGACTGGGCACTGCATTGACACCTTTACAATACAGTTGTTTTAATACAAATTCTTCTGGTTTGCTCATTTCCCCCCACATCGGTTCACACGAGTCTTGCCCAGTTTCTCCAAAACCACCCCCTTCATCATTCCTTATGGCACAATAGTATTCCATTACACTAATGCCCCACAAAGAACTGCCATCAGTGTGAGTGTGTGAGTGTGTGCGTGTGTCCCCTCTTCTTTCTTTAATGTCTCTGGGGCTGGCAGGTTTTGGTTTTGTTTTTGTTTTTTGGGAGGGCAGGTAGGTGGCCCAGTGGGCAAAGTGCCAGACCTGGAATCAGGAAGACTGGGTTCAAATCCTGCCTCAGTTACTTATTAGTTGCACGACCTGGGCCAAGTCACTTACCTTGCCCATCTGTTTTGTCATCTGTAAAATGGGGATAACAACAGCACCTGCTTCATAGGGTTGATGTAAGGAACACATGAGAACATTTGAAAAGCATTTAGCAAACCTCCGAGCATTATACAAATGCTGCCAAATGAAGGAAGTACATTTACAAGGAGAACAATTTATACGTGCTGTTCCGCTGTTTCAGTCACGCCCATCTCTTCCTAACCCCTTTTCTAGGGTTTTCTTGGCAGACACTGGAGTGCTTTGCCATTTTTCTTCTCCAGCTCATTTTACAGATGAGGAAACTGAGGCAAACAGGGTGAGCTGACCTGTCCAGGGTCACACAGCTACTAAGTGTATGAGGCTGGATTTGAACTCGGGTCTTCCTGACAGCAGGATGGTGCTCTGTGCACTATGGCACCACCCAGGTAGCCAACTTATACACTACTGTACAAACAGCTCGCATTTCTTTAGCACTGTAAGGTGTACAAAATACTTTACAAAAATGTTCTCCTTTGCTCCTCCTCATCCCCTGGGATGGACCCTGCTTCTCCCTTCCTTCTCAAGGGGAGATGGATGGGGGGGTGGGGGTGGGGCGGCGGGAGACAAGAGACAGACATTTGTGGCTGTGACCAACGGGGAAGCGTTGGCTGATGGCAGACTCAACTACGCATACTCATCAGCAGAGTTTGGCTTCCAACGGTTGGGGGAGAAGACAGAGAGGAGGGCTTTGAGGGTGAAAAAATGGATTTCTGTTAATTAAAAAAAATCACATTTCATTTTTAAATTAAAAAGAAGGCCCGGGGACTAGAGCAGGAGTCAGGTCCATGCTGGCTCTGGGTGCCACCCCCGCCCCGGGCATCGAGAATGTGCCATGTCTGGCTCCACAAGTCCTGCCAGCCGCGCTCTGTGTGGCCCACGTCCCCGGCCCTCGAGTCTGGAGCATCCTGGCCCACTCAACCTCTCCACCATCTTTTCCCTAAAAGCTGCCCTGCTCTTCCCAGGTCCTTCCCTCTCCCACCTGAACAGCGATCACCTCTGCACGAGGCCACCTTCCCGAGACGCCCGGCTGGAGCTAGTCCCCCTCTACTATCCCCAGACACAGCCAGGTGTTTCCTACAGGAGGCACTCAATCAATGATTGCTCTGAACTGGAAACAAGTGTTAATGGCAGTGTGTGTATAAAGAAAGCAGTTCTGGTCACCAAAGATTAATTAACGCAAAGCAGCCAGAGCCCAGGAAACGGACGCATCTTCAGCTTCTGCAAAGGGACTGACTCTCCCTTGGCGTCTGCAGTTCCTAGCGTGCAAGGCCACCCCACAGCTCGGTACGCATCACGAGTGGCCCCCAACAGCCATCTCAACTCCAGCACCCTGGCCTTTCCTGACTTTGGGGGTGAGCAGAGTGAAAGGCCGGGAGGCTAGACAGGCAGCCTTGGCTTGCTCCAGACACACAGATGGAGAGCCAGGCAGGGCGGTGCTAGGCGGTCCGGACGCGCGCTCTAGGCTTCACTTTGCTCATCTGTAAAATGAGGGCACTGAATGATAGGACTCCTGAGTCTCTGACACTCGGACGCCTGCCTGGACGTTCTCTGACATTCTGGATTCTAAGATGTCAGTCTAGTCCAGAGATCCCTGGGCAGCCAGCTTGGGAAAGGGCATGGACCTCTTGGCAGAAGCAGGCTTTTCAATGCATAAAATACAAAGGACTGCAAAGGAAACCAATTACAATGAAGCTGTCATCAAAACAGTGAGAAAAGAAAGCTCCTGGCCAGCCTCGTCTAGGCCAAGTTCTCCCGTGGCAGACACCGGACGGACAGAACCCCTGCCCTGCAGAACAAAGCGCTACTGACCCCTGCAGCGGCAGCCCAAGAGTGCCGCCTCTGTGCCCACCCCCCCCATCCTCCCCTCCCCCACAGGCTGGGTCCTCACCTTGCTGAAAAAGTACACGATCAGCACACGCTTGGACAGGAAGCTCTTCACCTGGGCAGGGAAAGAGACGATGAGGGCACCACCCTACCCCCCCGATCAGGTGACGCCAGCAGGGGACAACCTGGGGTATCGGCTGGCCGGGAAGCTGCTGCGGCCACCGGCTCTGGGGAAGATCAAGGGGGATTCCAGAGGCCACCCCCCACCCCACCAAGACACTGGCCAGACACGCGCTGGGGACGAGTCCTTGGCAGGAGGACAGCGACCTGAACAGCACGTGGCTACAAACGCCCCAGTCGCCCCTGACCTCCAGGGCACCCCATCCTCCCCGCATCGGGGTTTTAACTCCGGAGTCCTCGGAGAGCCCCGAGCGCTCATCTAGTCCTGCCCCTTCACTTGACAGATGAAGAAACTGAGGCCCAGAGGAGCGACATGCCTTGTCCAAGGCCACGAAGTACTTGGTGGCAGAGCCGGGATCTGAACCCAGAACATCCGGACCCAGCGCTCTTCCCACTGTACCGTACGTACCGTGCCATTTAGGCCGATGCCTTCTTCTGTAAATGTGGGAACCAAGATGGGCATCCCACGTTGACTACAAATACCCATGGGAGCTCTGATCAGCCCCCGCCTCCTGAGGGCCCAGCACCGTGTCTGGCACACAGACGGGGCTCAGGGAATGTTTGTTAGCTTCAATTCAAGACCCAGCCCCTCCCGTCTCCTGACCTGTCATCCAGATATCCCTCCGAGGGTCAAAGGTTACTCTTCCCACCCTCCTTAGAGGAGGCAGGAGGGGCTCCCACCTTCCATCCCCCCGGGAAGCCACCAGACTTGCCTGTGCCGTGGGCCTGGCATGGGTGATGGATGGCATCTCCCGTGGCTGGCGGTGGTCTTTAAGGCCACACAGTCAGTCACTTCTGTCCCCAGATCCCAGCCTTGCCCGTGACCTGCAGCCACCAAGGAGGAGCAGCCCTCCCCAGGGAGAGAGCCCTGGCGCTCTCCACACATCACCGTGGCATTCTCTGATGTGCTCCCCCGTCTACCTGCTGTTGTTTACTCTGCAGCCACGAGTACAGCTTGCTGGGTGGGCCTCTGTCTTCATGTTTGGCCCCACAACTAACAGGGGGAGGGAAGGAGCTGGGGCTCTGGGGCCCATCGCTTTGCAGGTCTAAGGAGAGAAGGGGGGAGGGGGTGTTTGGTCTATTAAGTTCACTTTACAGTGACAAAAATGTCCACACAGAACATGCAAATCTGCCTCGGTGCTAATCAGGGCTGAGGCTGAAGGAGCTCCCTCCACTCCACCCTGCCTCTCCTTCCCCTCCAGGCTGTGCTGCAGACTCCCTCCACTACATCCCCACGCTGAGGACGAGGACCTTCCTCCGACTCCATCAGACAGAATGGAAGCTCTTTGAGGGCAGGGACTGTCTGTCTTTCTGCTTGTGTATTTGTGATCCAGAGCTCAGCACACTCCCTGGCCTAGAGTAAGCGTGTGATAACTACACACTGACCTGACCGCTAATCAGACTCAGGACAGAAGTAGGAAAGAAACCGTCCAGAGCTCACCTGTCAGTGAAGTCCACAGTCTGGGGCCTCTTCTCGTCAGCTGGGGACTCAGGGGGCCCTTGTACACGGGGGACTTGAAGTCTCCTACCCCCGCCATCCGGCTCCCAACACCATCACCAAAAAGGGAGACGATCGGGGCGGGGGAGTCAGGAGAAGTAAATTTGGAAGAAAAGAGGGACGCTTTTACCAGTGACGGCATCAAAGCCTTCGACATCAGATTGGCCTTGGGAGTCTGAAAGGCAATTTCTTCTGCAAAAAAAAAAAAAAAAAACCAACATATGTGTGTGTTAGTGAGCTTTCCTCTGCCAGTGAGAAGAGTGGGGCCGGCCTCCAGAGGCCACGTTCTCCGAAGCCACCTCTACGTGGCTCAGGCGCCCATTAACTAGCCGTCTGAACCAGTCGTGGTGCATGAACGTAAGAGACCGCAGACTGGAGAAGCACAGAAAACATCCACAGAAATCTAGGGAGACTTTTGTAAACCTGAGCACAGGGACGCTAGTAGAACCTGGAGAACATGAACCCCAAGAGGCTTCAGAAGGCTCCTCCACACATGGACCAAAGGGAACCCACACCAGACAGCAAAACAAGCCTCCTGCCTCCAAAATCAAGAAGAGAAAAAAGAAAAGGGGGCGGGGAGGGACACAGCCCTCAGTCTCCAGGCCCCCATCCCAAGACTCTTAGCTCAGAGGACCAGTGTAACCCCTTCCAGTCGCCTCTTTCTGATGTAGGGCCCTGGCTCTTTGGCCGGTCCTTACTGTGGGATCATGGCATGCCATTCAAGTTCTCCAAGCCTCAGTTTCTCCATCTATAAAATGGGGCTAATAGGCACACTTGAGGCAGCGAAGCAGCCCATGAGAGGAGGGAGGACAGCAAGGTGGCCCAGAGCAAGGGTTGGGGAGGGGGTGGGGAACAGCGAGGCAGCCCGCGGGATACCCTGAGTTACCTTCCATCACTGGGGGCTTCTTTGACTCCACAGAGCTGGGCGGGGGCTTCACTCGTCCATTGGTGGCCGCGGCTTCTTGATAGATCACAAGTTTCTGAGTCAAGTCATTCAGCAGAGCCAAACACTCGCGAGATATGGCCACCCAGTTGTGGGGGTGCCCCCCTAGAGATCAGACAACAGTTTTAAAACTCGGCCAACACCCCCATCACAACATGACGGAGAAAAAGAAGGGCAGAGCCTCAGAGCTGGAAAGGAGTCGAGGTCAGCTCGCCCAGCCGCCACCTGCCCTGGACAAGGGCCTCCCAGCCCCCCACATCCCTTCCCCTTCGTTTGTCCTTGCTCTGCCCTCGGCAGCCAAGCTGAAGGGGCCCACTTGTCTTCCAAATACCCGACACAGCCACACCGAGACGTACTATCTCAGGCTCAATGTTCCCACTTCTTTCCACAGTTCCCCATGCGGTCTGGCTTTGAGATGCCCTCATCTTGCTGGGTACCCTCCCCCGCATGCCCTCCAGTTTTTCGCTGTCTTCCCTAAAATGTGGTGCCCAGAACTGGACACAAACTGCTCTGATGACAGGAGAGAGGGGGCCTGGCAGCGTCCCTGCTCTGCCCAGCCAGCGGCATCCCTGCTCTGCCTGGTGGGGACGGGAATGCCAGCCATGCAGCCCGGCCACACAAGACACTTTTTGGGTTACCACATCCCACTGCTGACTCCTATGACTACAATCCCTTCTCCTGGCTTTTTCCACACACATCGATACAGGGCAAGACTTCTCCATTCTAGACTTGGGTTAAAAAACCTTTAATTAACTGTACCAGGATAGGACTTTGCAGTCATCCTCATGAGGTTTTTGGCCCACCATTACAGTCAGCTGAGAAATTGTGGGATCCTAATTCTGTCATCTCTTTTTCCAAAATCTTCCTCCCTCACCATCCACCCAGCTCCCAGGCCAAAGAGATCCCAAATGCCAAAAAACGAAAAGCCCTAAAAAGTCACTTAAAACCAAAGCAAACCTTGTGCAGGAGACACAAATATTTTTACATCTGAAGGCCATGAAAAAGACCAAGGATGACATCAGCTGCAATAAACAGGCTGGGAACGCAGTCCACAAAAGCGGCCATGTCTAACGAGGGGCAGGCCAGCACCCCAAGGCCCTCCCACCAGCCGGGTGGGACCCAGCGGGACGAGGCGGGCCCTCCTGGCAGGCTTCCCCACGTCCACTTCCACATGAGGGGCTGCTGGCATCACTGTTCAGGCCGGCCCCTGCCCCGCTCGCGCACACGTCTGCTCTTTCATTATTCCCTCTCTTCAGAAAACTCTCCCTGCTTCTCATTATCTCTGGCTGGTTGGCGGCTTTGTTTCCTTACTAAAGTCACTTAAACATCAAATAACAGGCCTCAGTGTTGGGGGGAACATGGCAGAGGGGTCAGCCCCCGCACAATCTCTGCAGGAAGACCCTCCTCAAGAAATCCCCAGAGACAATCCCACCCTTCTGGCCTAAGGATTGTCCTGGCATCAAATGGGGCTACCCCAAGTCAGGGGACAAACCAGTGAGTTTGGAAAGGCTTCCTCAGAACCTGCCACCTCCTCCCCAGGTGACCTTGGCGGGGTTTTTCCCTTCCCTAGGTCAAGGGCCTTGGGGTCCTTTCCAACTCTACAGCCAGACCCTCAGGGGTCTCTCCAGAAGGAGGCTGCCTCCTCTCATGGCCGGTCAAGCCAAGACACCAGAGACGACATTCAACATGCAGAGAAGGGCTCTCCCCTCAACAAACCCTGCCCCCAGGTAAGTGGCTAAAAAAGGTGGGAGACGGCACACATCATAAAAACATCACTCACATAAGATTTTTGTGGTTGCACGTGCGCACACACACACGCACGCACACACACACACACACGGTGCTTACATTTCAAAATGTCTCTGGTATGTGAGCTCTCACCGTGTCACAAAACCAACGGAGCTGCCCCAGCTCTGGGCCTTCCAAGCTTCCTCCACCATCCCCTCAGCCCCGGTCCTCCCTTCAGCCTCCCCCATTACCCCCAGGGCAGGACCTGTCTTCGCCTCTTTTTACTTGGACCTGTGTGCCCAACACTCAGCCCAGTGCCTGGCACACAGTAAGTGCTTAATAAATTCTTGCTGGCTTGCTTCCTTCCAAAACATCCTAGCTTCTTTAGGGTGCCCCGGTTCCCCCGGTGGAGGAAGGGGGTCTAGGAGCTTGGCCTGCTTGCTTTCTCCCTTGCCAGGGGGACCCCCTACCTCCCGGTGCTAAGACGCTGAGAGGGAAAGCATTACAGCCAAGCCAGGGCTGAAAGAGTCCGTGGGGTCACCCAGCTCATCCCCCTTCGCCTTGCCGAGGACGGTCAACCCGTGCCCAGACCACCACCAGCACAGCTCTGGCTTCACAGGCAGAGGGAGGGCCCACACAGGGTTTGCCTGGGAGGCTCAAAGGCTAGCTGTCCTTCTTCTGGACAGGAAAGAGAATGTAAAAGAAAAAAAGCACTGGACATTAAGTTCTAGTGTTCAGTCTAGCCCTGCCCCACATCAGCTACGTGACCTTGGGTGAGTCACTTTAGTGAAACTCAGGTTCCTTACCTTTAAAATAAGATTTCTCAAAGGTCCCTTTCAGTTTTAAGATTCTACAACACCCCTCTCTCCTTTTCTCTAAAACTGTCTAGTTAATCATTTCCTTGGGCGGAGGAGAGACAAAGAACACAGGAGAAAAATACGTTTTGGTTTAAAAACCTTTCCCTGATGGCGTCAATGCTGCTGCCACCAGACTTCTCCCAGGCAGCCCACCTGTAGCCACCAGGTTGGTGGGCTTCTCATCTAACGGAACCCGATAGTTTATCCTGGGAATCACTGTCATTGATTTTCGTTTTTAGTGCTACTTTTCATGTTTACATTGCTTTTGCTTCCAAATATACCCCTCGAGAGCCTACCCTTTATGTAACAAAGACTTAATGGAGGGAAAAAATCTGTTGAGCCCAAGTAGCCACACAGGGCGGAGGCCCCACTGCCAGCAGGAGGGCAGGCGCAGCGGGCGGAGCTCTTCCTCCCACCCGCCCCAGTCAGGCGTAGGAGCCTTGGAGATACCTGGTTGGCTGAGGCTGAATACTTCTTGTCGCCTGGAAGGAGAGTACTGAGACAGCAGCATGAGGTCCTGCAGGGCCAGATACTGCAGGGAGACAGACACATCCTGGTTAGGGGTGGAAAGTCCACGTGACACAGGGTGCCCCCAGATGTACCTGGGGACACCCCAGAGAATGGACAGTGGTGCCTGGGAAAGGGGACACAGAGAGAGTTCCTTAAACCTGGAAAAGGCAAGGCCCTAAACACTAAGAGCCAGGACCCTTTATCCATCACAAAGACAAATGCAAATTAACTAAGCCTGGATTCCAGGGTGAGCCCTTCTGGGAGTATCCAGGGAAATGGCATGTCCAATCACCAGCCTGGCCGGGCCGGCTGTGGCCCTGTGTGCCCCCCTGCCCGCCAGGACCACCCTGGACAGGTCACTGGCCCACACTGGCCCCATGCTTCCTTCCAGCTCTCAGCCAGGAAGCCCAGGGTCCTGCGCGTGCCCATGTCATTGTCCTGTTTCCTTAGACACAGATCTGTTTTTTGTTTCTTCTCAGCGTGTAACTAATAGGACAAATGCTGACATACATAAAATCTGGGCTTAGAAACCCCAGCAATTACACACAAAAAACAGATTCTGGAATGGCGGAAGCTCCAAAGTCACTCACTCACTGGTCCTTTGTCTCACTCACCAGAACACGGCTTCAAAACCTCCCCCTCCCACGGCTTGTTCATCACCAGCCAAGCCGACGTCACCCCATGTCGTCGGGCAGTGGTCAGCAGCCACACCCGTCCCATGTGTCCAAGCCCAAGCAGGCATCTGTAAACCTTCACCGACTCTCTAGAGCTATCAGCTAAAGGGAATGCCCCCTGGAGGGGGTCTCTCAGGCCTCCAGGAGCCTCCCACAGTCACAGCAAGTGAGACGAGGCTCATCTGTTTCAGATTTCTAATGACAGTGAGTCTGACCAAAGCCAGGGCAGAGCCCCCAGGACTCGCATGCAGAAACCTGCTCAGAAGACCCTGCCTGGTCCCTGGACCTTCATCTGTACCAGGGAAGGCCCACCAAGAGACCTCGGGCTCCAACACCCTCCCCAAGGCCTCTGCCACAAACGCAACCCACACCTTTGACTCGTTACCCAGTGACCGACCGGGGGCTGAGATGGGGCCACCAGACAGAATCTGTTGTAAAAAAGCCCGTCTCTAAAGTGTCTCAAAGTTACTCTTCTGTCTTATTCTGAGAAATCACCTTCACACTGATCCAGCTGAACAGGGCTTAGTAAGGGTCTACTCTATGTGACAAGCCAGGTGTGGGGCACCTGGAAGGTAAAGACAGACAGAGGCCAGCTGACAGCCCTGCCTTCGAGGCCCTCGCCATCTGCCAGCAGGAGAGAACGGGAGTTCGGGCAGTACAGAATGTCAGACCAGGCCATGGGCCATGAGAAAACTAGGGTGCGGGGAGGAGGAGGGGAACCTGGTACTTCCAATGCTTCCACGTGATGCTGGAATGGGAAGAGTGAGAGAGCCCCAGAGAACCCGGGCTCTACCCCTGCCTCAGCCCCGAACCCCCTCCTCCAGTCGCCCTGATCCCCCTGACACCGTCAGCCAGCAGAGAAGAGGCTCGGAAGGCTTCATGGGGGCAGGGCTGGGGGGGGGGGGGGCACGGGCTAGCACCTAAACAAAGACAAAAGCTGGAGAAATCTCTCTCCACCCACAGCAGAAAATGATCAGCTGAGGGAGACGTGAGCCCGAGTGAGCTGTACAGCCAACCAGTCCCTAGAAAAGCTAAGGCGCACCAGACGCAATAAGGTTCCCCGGAGAGGCTGGCTGGGTAAAGAGGAGCGGGGGAAGGGTGGCAGCACATACCTTTATGATGAGGGGAGAGCTGCCGTTTAAGACTTTGGGTAAGCATTCTTCTGAGTCTCCCGTAAACATGGGCTGAACAGGGAAGACGTGAGCCTGAAACCAGAGAAGGAGGATGACGAAAATGAGCCACGCATTTGGGCCCAGGCAGCAAGACCAAGCCCCAGTACCCGCTGTGAGGTTAAAGTCCCAGAATGGCCAGAAACCTGTGAGTGCCCCTGTGCCCAAACAGGCTCAGGGCAGAGCAGCCTCCCCATCCCAAGGAAATCACCCCTCCTCCCCAGCCTCCGTCAGCCCAGAAAGAGGGTTCTCGGCCCACAGAGGAGAGAGAACGAGGCCAGTGCCACCTGCTTATGCAGCTCTCACAAAAGCTTTCATTTTCACCTGACACTTCCACCTTATGAAGTCTCCTTTAAAAATTCACTGCAGCAAGGATAACAGCCTTAGCACACTATCAGTAAGCTCTGTACTTTTTTAGTGACAAGGCACCTGACGGGTGCTCAGTCACCAGCCTGGCCTCGGTCTCAAGGCCTCCAGGGAAACCAAGCACTCAGCACGTTTCAACTTCCAAGCCCTCCCGGCCCCCAAACACCTGCTTCCTTACACCTAACCACTCTACGTCATCAATGTAAACATCATTATGGAGCCAAACGCCGGTCCTGTGGGGATGGCGCGAGGACACCGAGAGCAACCCAGTCAACACAAGAACTCGGCACGTTCCGACTAAGTAAGTCAATGCCATGCCTGCAACCTCCAGCTCTGGGCAGCTAAGATTCAACCCAAAAACCTGCCCACAGGAAATCAATGGCCAGTCTGGAGCCTCTGAGCAGCCCTCCACACTGACCTCCGTGGCATAGATCTTGAAGAGCACCCAGGTGATGTACCAGGTCACCAGAAGAAAGACCCCGCAGAGCCAGACGTGGTAGAGCAGGGAGAGGTCCAAGAGCCCGCTCAGGCTGTCCAAGGGAGGCTGTTTCCTGTGAAAGACGAGGGAGACTCCAGTCAGCCCCCTGGGGCTCTGGCTGGCCAGAGGTCAGTCAGGGAGGGAGGCTTCTCGGGCATTCCTGCAGGACACGGGCCTGCCAAGCACCCAGGGATGCCCAGGGACCACAGGCGCCTTCTGACCGGGCCCTGAGTGTCCAATATGCCTAATGTTTACTCGGGAGGCTCCCCCTAATGTCACGTCTGCTCTTCCAGATAAACCTGGGGGCCCGACCCTGGCTCCCCTCCTCAGGTGAATCCATGAGCTTTCTTCCTCAAGCTCACAAGCATCTTTCCATTTTTTTTTTAAACATTCCAGCTGGTTTGAGTCACTCATACTAATGAAGAGGGAAATTACAAGTATTTAGTAATGCGCCAGTACCTCTGCTCCATCTGGAGACGCGCTGGACAACTTTTCCAAGTGGCCAAGGTAAGATGTATGGGCCCAGGGCAGGGGAGAAAATCCCTTCCCAGAGGGACTCTCACCAAACACCAGAAGCTCCTGAAGCCAGCAACAGAAGAACACTACCACTGAGCTCATTCTCTAACTAAATGCCTTGAAGACAGTGATTGCCATCGACTGCAGAAGCCTTGGGCAGTGATAGCTGCATAAACAGCCATGAGGGCATCAAGGAGACTTTTTTTAAATAACAAAAATAAACAAGATTTTGAGCTGGAGCATCACTGGATTCCCTTCCGCTGCCCTGTGACTGCCCACAAAACACCTGAGCACCCACTATGTGTCAGGCACTGCGCTGGGACGCGCATATGTCTCCCTCAGGCCGCCCTCTTGATTTGCCCCCCCATCCCACCCAGGTACAAATTATTGTCAGCAGCAAGATGAAAGCAGAGAGTCCTGGCTCTGGAAAGGCAAAAACAAGTGTCTATTGTAGCACCTACTATGCTAAGGGCTTTACAAATATGACCTCATTTGATCCTCATAAAAACCATGGGAGGCAGGTGCTATCATGATCCCCATCAAACAGATGCGGAAACCAAGGCAGAGAGCAGTCAAGTGACTTGCCCAGGGTCCCACAGCTTGGAAGTGTCTGAGGCCAGAAAACAAGGGGACTGGACAAGATGACCTAAGGTCCTCTCCAGTGCAAGGTCTAGGACCCTATTACCCAGTAACGTTCAAAACCTGCCAACTGCTCCCTACTATCTACTAAGTAATCACACTGCTTAACTACCTCCCCGGGGCCCCACTGTGCCCATCTCTACTCCACACAGGGAGGCTCCAACCACCGTTCTACTTGGTTCTGGATACACAACTGCCAGGAGGTTTTCCCACCTCCACACCTTTGCTCTGATGTTCCCTTTTCCTGGAACGCCCTTTCCTTCCACCTGCTGAACTTCTCCCCACCCTTTAAAGCCCCAATCCAGAGCCTTCCCAGGATCTCCGAGGCTAAGCAGGCTAACAGAGCTCGCTAATTATCTCCTCTCGACACTTCTCTCACACTGCGTTGCCATGATCTAGTTATACATCACTTCCCCTGACCAGATGCCAACTCCTCGAAGGCCAAGAACTCTGTGTTATCAAATATTCCCAGCGGAGCCTTGCGCACAGCCCAGGAGAAGGGGAGAGGGACGGGGAGGAGAAGGTGAAGGGTCACTCACTCATCTCTGTGGAGGTCCATCGCAGTGCTGATCCAAGCTTTGGGGATATAGCCTGGGGGGAAAACACACCAAACTGTAAATCTAGCACCCCAACCCAGGCAAAACCATGAGACCCTGGAATGCAAAAGCAAGACTGCCCGTGTCAGAAGAAGGATGGCGTTTTGAAATCCTAGACCCCACTGGGGAGCCTCCGTGGTGCCTCCAGGCTGGGGGTGGATAGAGTGGGGCCCCATGAAGATGACGCTCCTCTCCAAGGGCTTCTGGATCGTCAAAGAGGAAAAGTGGGTCTAACAGGAAGACGGTATTTGCTGTGATATATTCTTTGGAGAGAGGCTCTCTGTGCACCACCCCAACATCACCAACCTACCTTCTGCTTGCAAGCACAAGGCACTAACATGCTGGGCAAGAGGAGTCAAGGGCAGAGACAGCTCAGTGCCCAGGCAGCCCCCTGCCCTGCCCTGCTGCCACCGCAAGAGAGGTGGGGAGGTGCCGGCCTGGAAGAGCAACCTGGGACAATGGCAGGGGCCCCAGCACGGAAGGAGCCCGCAAACAGAGCAGCCCTGGCTCAGGCCGGCCTCCGCCATACAGAAGGAGTTTAATAAATGCTGTGTGACTGATTAGCTTGTGTCCTGGTTCCCCAGGAATGGAATAGATAATAGCTGTCCCTACAGACCTGTTTGGTACAGTACAAAAACTCATACAGCACCCACGACATACTCATGTGCCCGTCTCCCACAATGCCCCTGGATTCAGCCACCCAGCTCTCCCCGCTCGAGAGGCTAAAACAACAGAGGACAGAGAAGAATCCAAAGGGCGGCTTCTGCTCACAGAAGTACAGAAGAGTCACAACTGGCATCACCCAAGCCCCTGCCCAGCACCAGAGGACAGTGAGCATCCAGGGGTCAGAGTCCCAAGCTGGTACCACTAGGGAGAGCCCCCAGAAGGCAGTGAGCGTCCAGGGGTCAGAGCCCCCTCCCCCTCCAGCACCAACAGGGAGAGCCCCCAGGACCAGAGGGCAGTGAGCGTCCAGGGGTCAAAGCCCCCTCACCCTCCAGTACCACCAGAGAGAGCCTCCAGGAACACAGGGCAGTGAGCGTCCAGGGGTCAGAGCCTCCTCCCCCTCCAGCACCACCAGGGAGAGCCTCCAGGAACACAGGGCAGTGAGCGTCCAGGAATCAGAGCCAATTTCACCCTCACTTACTGGGTGACTCTGGCAAAGACATTTGACTGGGGAAACGGGCATCACCATCCAAGCTGCACTTGCCTCCCTCCCAAGGCTGGGCAGGCAAGCCCAAGCCCCTATCCCTAGACACCAGCACCTAGCAGCAGGGTCATCATTTTTCCCAGCTGGGTGGCATTCACAGGGCAGGACACACAGAGATGCTGGGCCCATACTGACTGGTAAGGCTCTCCTGGCATAGAGAACCTCCAGCACTGCTGGGTGCTCTACAGAAATCACTACTGCCTTCTATGCCACAGGCACCCTGACCTCAGGGGCATGGTTTTCTCCAGATTACAGCTTTGATCAACAGCAGGGATGACAAGAGGGAAGGAAAAGCAGATGGGCTGGGCCTGGGGTGAGATGAAGGCAGGAGGAGGGAGGGACAGGCTGAGAGCAGAACTGGGGAGAAGACAAAGGGCAAAGGAAGGCACAGGAGGCAAAGTGAAAGGGAAGGAGCACAAGCCTGGTCCTGGGGGCTCACGACCAAAAAGGGACCCTGGACCACTCACTCCCCATTTACAGCTGACACGCCTGAGGACCAGGAGAGTCCAGGGACTTGTCTAAAGGCACCCAGCCCTCAATGAGAGGGCTCTAGACCCCACTACCGCTGGCTGCATCCCTTGCTGAGTGGAGGCTCCAACCTCCTCGCTAGAATGGCCACCTTTATGAGCATTAAAGACACCGTACTAGGCCACAAGTGAGAGGCCCTTTCCCAAAGCTCTGACAGCGCCAACACCCGGCCTCTGTCAGCCCCATGAGGGGAGGGAGACACCCTTAGTAACAGCTCTCCCTCTTTGCAATGCTCATACCCAAAGGTACCGCGGCAGTCCCAGGGATCCCCCTGTGCCTCCATCACCTACTAGCCACATGAGCCTGGGCAAAGAGCCTCAATGTCTCCACCCAAAAAGGGAGAGGCAGAGCTGGGAGATGTTCACCACAGGCCCTTCCCGCTCAGACCCCCTGCTTTCCCCGCCTCACAGGGGTTTAATGAGGACCAGAAAGGAGTGGATCAAAAGCAGCTAGGACCAGAAGATGGCACAGAACCATGACTGTACCATCCATCCCTGGTCTAGGACACCAAGTCAGGGTCCTAAATGGGTGCCAGTCACATGATGAGCAGAAGCCGAGGAGCCCTGGCTACTTACCCAACCAAGTTCTGGGTCTCAGCTAGGCTCACCCTAGTCCAGAACAGTCATCCGCCACAGCAGGCATGGAAGAAACTTTTGCCAAACAGGTGAAATGGCATCTTGACCTCCCGGGCTACCCAGGAACAGGGACATCAGACAGAGGAGGTGAGGAGTGACCCCACCTTCTGAGAGAGGCGCCATCCATGAAGGGTCACAGGTCCTTACCCAGGAAATAGTAGAGGCCACAGAAGTTCCTGACCAGGTACAGGGATTCCACAGCACTGTGCCGGAGCAGCAGGGGCAGAGCTCTCCGGAACCGCAGGAATTTGTATTGCTGGAGAGAAGGAAGAAAAGAGGGAGTGGGGAGAGTGCACCGTCCCACCCCGGCCTCACAGGCACCCTGGGTCTCATCTGGACAGTTCAGACAGCACCCATCCTGTGGGGAGAGGGGAGCAACAGCTGTCAGATGGTGACGGTCATCAGATCCTCAGCTCACACACAAGCCCCTTGGCAGACAAACCCAAGCTGGACAGCCCCTCTGAGGGAACATGTCGAGGAATCCAGCAAACCCCCAAGACATGCCTACTCTGCGCAGGGGCCGGGCCTAGAGATGGATAAGATGAGCGGGACCTGGGCCGCCCTCCAGGAGCTCACTGCCTGGGAGGGGAGAACCGCAGTAGGACAGTAGCCCAGGGGCAGCAGGGACATCCCAGGACCGAGCCCTGGCCAGCCCCATCCCCAACACTGTGACTTTATCCCCTTCTTCTCTCCAGGCCTCCGCAATGAAGTGAAGCATGGCGCCCGCCCCCTGTGGGGTCTGAGAGGCTCTGCAGACTTTGAGGGCCCCTTCCACAAGAGCTACAGAGAGCGGAGACACCGGGACAGGCTGCAGTCTGGGGCCCGCAGAGAGCAGCTCAGATTCATTCTGAGAGGAGGCCAAGGGCAGGCAGCAGGGGGGTGACGGGCTTCAGCGAGCTCCTCAGTCCCTTCCTGGTCCCTCCCCGTCCTGACCTTTCACAGTCAACGGAAGGCACGAGGAAGACCCAGGGAGCAAACGCTCAGGGCAGGGCCCCTTCTCCTCGAGAAGCTGGTCGGGGGCTCGCCCGGGGGTAGCGGGAAGTGTCACACGCCACCACACGCAGAAGGGGGAGGGGCAGTGGAGCAGAGAGAGCCCCGCTCAGCTCAGCAGACAGCTTGTGACTCAGGGGAAAGATGCTTCGGGCATCAAGAACTCACTTTTCTCCCAGAAACGTTCAGTTTAGCATCAGGAAAAAAGAGACACGCCATAGGAGCAAATGCATAGCTGGGGGAGCTGGCCCAAGTGTGACTCTGCCCTCCAATGAAGGGAAGCATCTGGAGGGCAGGGCCCGGTTCATCCTGCACCTTTCTATCCCTAGTGCCTTGCACACAGCAAGCGCTTAATAAATGCTTTGCTAACTGACGGGACAGATGACCTATGATCACAGAATCACCTCTGAAGCAGGAAGGGTTCCTAGAGACAGCCAGTCCAGGCCCCTTGTTGCAAAGGTGAGGAAAGGGAGCTGTCCAAGGTCTCTGAGGCAGCACCAGAGCCTGAGCTCACCCCAGGGCCTGGGGGCTGCCTGTGGAATCTAAAGAGACAGCAAGCTCTGACTCAGGGCCGGCTTTGCAGAAACTTCTGAGATCCAGTTCACTGTTTTAAAATGTTTAAATGCACTTTGCAACCCTGGGCAAGGCCGCCTGTGACGTCACTCCAGGGCAGTACCTTCGGTTCCAGCCTTCTCAAAAACTCAGTCCCCCACCCTACAGCTTCGCGGAGAGCCGCAGGCTCTAAAAACCAAGGTCATGAGGCACAAGGCTCCGTGGGGCCACTGGGTGTGGCGAGTCAAGACGAGCTCTGCCCACCTGGGCCCCCTCGCTGCAGCGGCGCCCCCTGGCGGCCCTTGGGCCTCTGCCCCTCCCCCCTTCATCTTCAACCTGCCTAGAGCAGCCTCTGCTCCCAGACAAAAAGCCCTTGGAGGCAGAGGAAGTCCCCTTCCCAAGGGGAGCTCCGGCGGGAGCAGCAGGCCTAGCTCTGCCCACTGGAGCTATGTGCTGGCCATGGGCCAAGGCCCCCCGAAGCCAAGAGAGACCCAGCAGGCCAGGACCACGAGGGGAGGTCGAGCTCCTTCTTACCTGTATGATGGGGAAGGGCAGATAGTTCATGTTGTTCACGAAATACAGGAGGCTGTAGCTGTAGCCCATGAAGGCTCCGGCCAACAGGAGAAAGAGGTGATATTCATTCAAACAGGCCCGGGCCACCTTACTGTCCAAGCTGAAAGAAAGCAGGCAGAGTGAGGGAGGACAGAGGAGTGGCCCCCCCGGCACCCGGGAGCTTGGAGGCGGCCCACGGGAAGCACGGAAGGGGAAAGGGTGCCCCCAGGAGCACCCGCCCAGGCAAGGCTCCAGGGCAGTCACTAGGGAGTGTCTCGAGTCAAGCCTGAAAACCAAGGGATGCCTGGCACAGTCTGCCTGGTCCCAGTAGCAGACAGGCCCTCTTCTCTGTCACGTCGAATACTCTGGGTGCTCAGAGCCCAGCCATCCTCATGGTTCTGGGGGGCACAATGGATGTGGGGTTCCCTTTCCCCCTCATCCTTGGCCGAGCGCTTCAGGGCCCTGAACGTCGATTAAAACAACTGAGTAAGTGTTTTGGGAGGCCCTGAGCAGACAAAGACAAAGACAGCCACAACTCTGGGGAGCAGCATCAGTTAGTTCAGCCACTTGGCACAGGTGGCACATTCCTGGCAGCTGCCACACACTCACACCCACTGCTAACCTGCAGCCGTGGTCCCCAAGCCACTCCCCAGGCCCAGCTGGGGACGAGCTCTCTCCTTGGCCTAAGACACACAAGACACACAACCTGCTCCTGCCTGAGCCTGCTCCCGACCCCGCCCCCCTGAGACAGCAGAGCCTCCGAGAAACCAGAGTCCCCTCCAGGCACAGAAAATCAACAGAGGAAGGCCGGGGTGGGGGGGACCCCACGATGAGGGGCCAAGGCAGGAGGGGATCAGCCAATCACAGGCCCCAGAGGTCAGCCCGGCCCACACCACCACCTGAGACAGGAAACAGGCCCAGAGATGGGAAGCACATTCCAGACGGCTCTTTTACGTCCTCTCAGCCTGCTGTCTCATCTATAAAATGAGGACAAACATATTTGCTCTCCCAGGGCTAGTGTGACGATCCTACAAGATAACTCAGGTGAGAAGCCATGAAAGCCAGAGCAGCCCTAAGAGGCCTGTTCCTACAGCTTTTCCCACCAAAGAGCCAAGAAGGGTGTCCCCAGGGGAGGCCCTGGTCCCTCCCTCTATTTACAAACATTAGAAAGCACAAAATCAAGCCAACCTCGTCACAGCCCTTCTACCTATGACCAACGGCCAGCACTTCGGCCTGAAAACACTTGCTATCTATAGTCATATGAAAAAATGCTCTAAATCACTATTGATTAGAGAAATGCAAATCAAAACAACTCGGAGGTACCACATCACACCTCTCAGATTGGCCAACAAGACAAAACAGGAAAATCATAAATGTTGGAGAAGATGTGGGAAAACTGGAACACTAATGCATTGCTGGTGGAGTTGTGAACTGATGCAACCATTCTGGACAGCAATTTGGAACTATGCCCAAAGGGCTATAAAAATGTGCATCCCCTTTGACCCAGCAATAGCACTTCTAGGGTTATATCCCAGAGATAATCACACAAACAGGAAAAGGACTCACATGTACAAAAATATTCATAGCAGCTCTTTTTGTGGTGGCAAAGAATTGGAAATTGAGGGGATGCCCATCAGTTGGGGAATGGCTGAACAAGTTGTGGTATATGAATGTAATGGAATACTATTGTGCTATAAGAAATGATGAGCAGGCAGACTTCAGAAAAACCTGGAAAGACTTACATGAACTGATGCTGAGTGAAGTGAGCAGAACCAGGAGAACACTGTACACAGTAACAGCCACGTCGTGTGATGACTAACTTTGTTAGACTTTGCCCTTCTCAGCAAAGCAAGGATCTAAGACAACTCCCAAAAGACCCATGATGGAAATTGCCACCCTCATCCAGAGAAAGAACTATGGAGTCTGAATGCGGATCGAAGCATCGTACTGGTTCTCTCTCTTTTTTTGTGTTTCTTCTTTCTCGTAGTTCTTCTCATTGGTTCTAATTCTTTACACAGCAAGACTAATGTCAAAACATGCTGAACATGAATGTACATGTAGGACCTATATCAGACTGCACGCCGTCTTTGAGTGGGGAGAAAATTTAGAATTCAAAAGCATATGGAAGTGAATGTTGAAAACTAAAAATTAATTAATTAATCTTTAAATTTTTTTTTAAAAAAAGGTGAAGCTACTCAGAAGGGATCAAGAAAATTGGGAAATTTTAAAATAAATAGAGAAGGAAAATTATAGACCAATTTCCCTAATGAATACAGATGCAAAAATCTTAAATAAAATATTAGCAAAGAGATTACAGCAACTTATCTAAAGAATAATACACTACGACCAGCTAGGATTTATACCAGGAATGCAGGCCTGGTTCAATATTAGGAAAACTATCAGCATAATTGATCATATCAACAACAAAACTAGCAGAAATCATGATTATCTCAATAGAGGCAGAAAAAGCATTTGACAAAATACAAAACCCATTCCTATTAAAAACACTAGAGAGCATGGGAATAAATGAAATCTTCCTTAAAATGATAGACAGCATCTACTTAAAACCTTCAGCAAGCATTATATGTAATGGGGATAAGCTAAAAACGTTTCCAATAAGATCAGGGGGGTGAAACAAAGATGTCCATTATCACCAACTGTTATTCAATATTGTGCTAGAAATGTTAACTGTAGCGATTAGAGAAGAAAAAGAAATTGAAGGAATTAGAATAGGCAAAGAAGAAAGAAAGCTATTACTCTTTGCAGATGATAGGACGGTATATTTAGAGAATCCTAGAAAATCAAGTAAAAAATTACCTGAAATTAGCAAATTTAGCAAAGTTGCAGGATGTAAAATAAACCCACACAAATCACTGGCATTTCTACATATTACTGACAAAACCTAGCAGCAAGAGATAAAAAGAGAAATTCCATTTAAAATTACTGTAGACATTATAAAATATTTGGGAGTCTGCCTGCCAAAACAAAACCACAAACTATATGAACACAATTACAAAACACTTTTCACACAAATAAAGTCAGATCTAAATAACTGGAAAAACATCAGTTGCTCATGGGTAGGCCAAGCTAATATAACAAAAATGACAATTTTACCTAAATTAATTTACTTATTCAGCGCCATACCAATCAAACTACCAAAAAATTATTTTATAGAGCTAGAAAAAACAATAATAAAATTCATCTGGAAGAACAAAAGGTCCAGAATATTAAGGGAATTAATGAAAAGAAATGCAAGGGAAAGTGGCCTAGCTGTTCTAGATCTTAAATTGTATTATAAAGTAGCAATCATCAAAACTAGTTGGTACTGGCTAAGAAACAGAGTGGTGGATCAGTGGAATAGGTTAGGTATGCAAGACACAACAGTCAATGACTATACTAATCTTCTATTTTGATAAAACCAAAGACTCCAGTTTCTGGGATAAGAAATCACTACTTAACAAAAATTGCTGGGAAAACTGGAAAAATGTATAGCAGAAACTGGGCACAGACCAACATCTTACACCCTGTACCAAGATAAAGTCAAAATGGGTACAGGATTTAGATATAAAAACTGATACTATAAGCAAACTAGAAGAGCAAGGACTAGTTTACCTTTCAGACATAGGGAGAAGGAAAGAATTTATGACCAAAGAAGAGACAGAAAACACTATGAAATGCAAAATGGATAATTTTTTTTTTTTGGCGAGGCAATCAGGGTTAAGTGACTTGCCCAGGGTCACACAGCTAGTAAGTGTCAAGTGTCTGAGGCCGCATTTGAACTCAAGTCCTCCTGACCCCAGGGCCCATGCTCTATCCACTGCACCACCTAGCTGCCAATGGATAATTCTGATTACATTAAATTGAAAAGTTTTTGCATAAACAAAGCCAATGCATCCAAGATTAGGAGGGAAGCAGAAAACTGGGAAAGAATTTTTACAGCCAGTATCTCTGATAAAGGCCCCATTTCTAAATTATATAGAGAACTGAGTCAAATTTATAAGAATACAAATCATTCCCCAACTGATAAACGGTCAAAGGATATGAACAGGCAGTTCTCAGAGAAAGAAACTAATGCTATCTATAGTCATATGAAAAAATGCTCTAAATCACTATTGATTAGAGAAATGCAAATCAAAACAACTCTGAGGTACCACATCATACCTATCAGATAGGCTAACATGATAAAACAGGAAAATAATAAGTGTTGGAGAAGATGTGGGAAAACTGGAACATTAATGCATTGTTGGTGGAGTTGTGAACTGATCCAACTATTCTAGAGAGCAATTTGGAACTATGCCCAAAGGGCTATAAAAATGTGCACACCCTTTGACCCAGCAATAGCACTTCTAGAGCTGTATCCCAAACAGAGCATAAAAATGGGAAAAGGACCCACATGTACAAAAATATTTACAGCAGCTCTTTCTGTTGTGGCAAAGAATTGGAAACTGAAGGGATGACCATCAAATGGGGAATGGCTGAACAAGTTGTGGTATATGAATGTAATGGAATACTATTGTGCTATAAGAAATGATGAGCAGGGGGGCAGGTAGGTGGCACAGTGGATGTAGCACCAGCCTTGAAGTCAGGAGGACCTGAGTTCAAATCTGGCCTCAGAACAAACACTTGACACTTACTAGCTGTGTGACCCTGGGCAAGTCACTTAACCCCAATTGCCTCAGCCCCCCCCCCCAAAAAAAAAGAGAAATGATGAGCAAGCAGACTTCAGAAAAACCTGGAAAGACTTGTATGGTCTGATGCTGAGTGAAGTGAGCAGAACCAGGAGAACACTGTACACAATAATAGCCACATTGTGCCATCACTAATATTGATAGACTTAATCCTTCCCAGCAATACAAGGATCTAAGACATCTCCAAAGGTCTCATGATGGAAAATGCTATCCACATCCAAAGAAAGAACTATGATGTCTGAATGCAGATCAAGGCATACTATCTGCTCTCCTTTTCCGTAGTTGTGTTGTTTTATTGCTTCAATCTCGTGTTTCCTCCCATTAGCTGTAATTGTTCTTTACATCATGACAAATGAGAAAATATGCTTAATATGAGTGTGTAACTACAGCCTATATCAGACTGCATGCTGTCTTGGGGGGGGAGAAAATTTAAAACTCAAAATCTTATGGAAGTAAATGTTGAAAACTAAAAATAAATCAATAAATTATCAAGGGAAATAAATAAATAAATAGATGAGCAGACAAATAAATAAATAAAGCGGAACTATCCTCCCAAAAAGAAAAAAAAAAAGAAAATTGGGAAAATTAACCATCTAGAAAGGATCCCACGAGGCGCCCAACAGCGACGTCCTGCGTCAGAACTAAAAGGCCACCAAACCAAAGCCATTTCTGACTCCCAGGGGCCTGTTGTTCAATGGCCCCGTCGAAGAGAGGCCAGTGACTGCTTCGTTTTGGTCTCTGTTCCCCAGCCTCCGGCCCTTCTATCACAGCATCAGGATGAAATATTCCTCAGGTCTGAGATGCCGGGAAGGCACACAAGTTTTCCCCACATCAACGTTCACATAAGAGAAGTTCCCAGGCTGCTCATGATAGTACCCGAGCCTGGTAGCTGGGAAGGGCTAAGAAAATGTGCCAGCCTCTCTCTCTTCCTTGCACAGGTGGAGGGCCTAAGGTGGGAAATCCTACATACACCGTCAGTGACTGGTTCTGCTGAATTGCTTTGTAAATGGATCTTTGTGCAGCTTTGTTACATGGGAAGGCTGACTAGGTGGAAGGAAGGACACAACTGGAATTGAAGAGAATGTCAAACAAAAGCTACCTACTTTTTAAAAACCTCTTAAGTACCACTGGACAAAGGCAGGGGCGGGGGTGGGGGAGCAGTGTCTGGAGACCCCCCCTCTGCCCCTCCCCGGCCTCTCAGCACTGCTCTGCGCCCTCTAAGCCCAGAAAAGCCGGGTGAAATCCCAGCCTGGCCTGCTCTCTCGCTGTGGAGGGAGTGACTGAGGGACAACGGCCCCTGGGCCCAGCCCCACAGCTCCTTCGCCCGCCACCGAGGCTGGAGGACAACAGCGCCAGACCGATGAGCTTCAGGCTCGCCTGCGACTGTCCCTCTCAGAGACACTTTAATTAGTACCTGGTGCCTTCCTCATCCTTTCCGTGGTCACCAATCAACGCTCTTTCTTTAACCTCTTGTAAGAGAAAACCTGCTATGTTCCTATGTACTCTACAAGACCACAGACCTAGAGCCGAAGGCACCCAGAGAAGGGACAGGCCTCCCTGCCCGAGGTCAGCGGCAGAGCCTGGATCTGACCCAGGCCCTTCAGGGCCCACAGAGGCTGTCCTCCCTGGGGAGTCCTGAGACGCTTTCTGCGGCCTCCACCGTTACCTGTCAGAGTCAGTGCAGGGCACAGCCAGAACGTGGTACTGGTCCTTGGTCATCACGGCCGCACACCACGCCATCAGCATGCCCATGGCCGAGTGCACCAGGGAGTGCATCACCTGCTGGGGGTGGACGATCTTCCCAATCAGGGCCAGGCGGGAGCAGGGGATGGACGGCGCCACTGCGGAGAGAACACAGCAGGACGGCCTTGAGTGGGAGCTTGAAGGCAGAGGGAAAGGGTCTGAGGAGAAAACAGAGGCTTACAGATGAAAGCAAAATCCTAGCAAAGCTGCAGGAAGAACAGAGAAAGAGACACCCCATGAGCAGGGGGGGTCCCCCAGAAGCGGCTACAGCCCCCCGCCTTCCAGGGGCCAGCTCCCAGCTCAACATAAACTGGACAAACAGGCTAAATACGCCCACTGTTCCCTAAAGGCAGAGCTACAGAAACAATGCCTACATCGCTTACGTAGAGCAGAAAACCTGCCTGGGATACATGGATTTAGGTAAAGTCTCTGAACAGAGGTCAGCCTAGGGCTGGATGACCTGTGGGCCCGGTCAGAGGGACGGAAGGAGAAGCAGTTAATCAGCTGCCAATAAGCCTGGGAAGAGGGTGCTGTCTGCACCTGACTCACTCCAAGCTGGGAGACCAAGCAGTCAGGGACCCTGGGCCCAGCATAAGTGGTGAAGAAGGCTGAAACACCCAGGACAGGAGGAAAGTTTGGACGGACCTCAGTTAGGGAGGACTGGAGGGGGCCAAGGCGTCCAGGCCACCTGAGACAGGAGGAGAAGGGGCAGAGAAGCCCAGGATTTGGGCACTGACCCTTTTATAAAGACTAGGGGTTAGGGGGTGATTGGGAAAGCACTCCAGGATCTTAAGCAGGGAACAGAAGTGGACAGAAACTCCAAGCCTAAAAGGTTTCTGAGCATTAAGGTCAGAGGGGAAAGAGAAAGCCCCCTTCCCACAGCAACACCCTGGGCCCCAAGAAAGGCCCGACAAACAGCCCGACAGCCTGGCTCAGGAAGGGCCTTGGGGGAGCATCCAGGCCACAGGAACCTCCTCCTCTGAGACCCCCATTCTGATCAAACAGAGAACACTACCGACTGAAAGGAAGTCTCCATCCTGAGACTCAAAATCGTAGCACCTGGACCACACGGCATCTGTGGGCATGTACCCACGGGGGACCACCACACACACACACACACACACACACACATGCTCACACATGCGCACACACACACACACACACACAAAATGGACCAAGTGTAATCAATGGAAAGTCGAGGCCAGCCACACTTGCCACACTCACCTGTGTAAAACTCAATGTTGAAAATGCTGATGATGACCACCACCAGCGACAGCAGCAGGAGGTAAAAGACCACATAGGAGCCGTACAGATTGTGGAAAGCATCTACAAGAGGAGAGAGAAGAACTCGTGACGTCTCGTCCGCGAGCATCACGGGCCCAGCCCAGAAGGAACCTTGGGGACGAAAGGTCAGCTTCCGACCTTGGACACAACCAGCCCTGCGTGCCTGTGGGGCAGCCTGGTGGCGGGCACCTCAGGTGCCGCCCGACTGAAAAGCCCTGAAGTTCCTCCAGTGGCGGCTCGCACTGCAGCCGAAAGCCGCCTTTCCACACTCGTGGTACCCAATCGATGCCTGGGCAGACTGTGGGGGGGAGGGCCACCTCAGCAGGCGCCACATGGGGGCGCCAAGGGGGCAGGAGACCTGACAGCGGCACGTACGGCCAAGGGCCAGCCGCCATCCCTCACCCTAGCCGATGGCAAGGAAGCCAGGCAAAGCAGGAGGCAGAGATGAGGAAGGAGAACGTTCCAGGCGTGGAGGACGGCCCATGAAAATGTCCAGAGTCAGGAGACGGAGCGCCATGCGTGATGAACGACAGCAGAAAGGCTACCAGGTGGCCCCGTGGGGAGAGTGCGCGGCCGGGAGTCGGAAACACTCAAGCTCAAATTCAGCCTCAAACACTCCTAGCTGTGTGACCCTGGACAAGTCACTTACCCTGCCTGCCTCAGTTTCCCCATCTAGGACCTACCTCCCAGAGCTGTAAGGATTAAATGAGATACTCACTGCAAAGTGCTAGCACAGCTCCCGACACGTAGCAAGGGCTATTTACTGGTAGCTATTATTGTTATTGTTATGAATATCACAGATCTCAGCAAATGCAGAGGGGTGTAAGGGGAGGGGGCAGAGGAGAATGGGGGCAGGGCATAGAGGGCTTCATGGCCAAGCAGAGGACTTTCTAATTGATCCAGGAGGCGACAGGGAGGGAGTCAACGGCACTGAATGGGGAGAGCCTGGTGACACTGGGTGGAGATGCCGAGGGCCCGCCGGGCCTCACCCCACCCCCGGCAGTGCCCCGAGCAGAGACACGCCGAGTGACCACCACGCTGGGCGAGGTCTCATGGCCCTCTACCCCTCTCCGCTGCTTTTGGTCCCTAGAACTAAAGTCTGATGCACAAGAAACTCTCTAAACCAAGTAAACCAGCCTCGATGGATTTCCCTGGAAAAAACGAATGACCTCACAGGGCAGAGGTTCTTCTAAAATCACTTTCGCACTTAGCTGTCCTTCCCAAACACAGGACAAAGTTGTTCAAATCTAACAGGAGTAAAGCTGCAGAAAAGAGCTGTGAAAGCAGGGAAGGGTGTGAGAAAAGGTCTGTGCAGTGCTCAAGACCACACATCGTGGAAACCCCCCAGGACGTCCCACGCTGACTGGTGGCTGCCTGGGGAAGCCGATGAGCGGCCGACACAAGAGGGCAGGCCCCTCTTCCCCACGCGCTGGCCCCGGGTCCCGGGCTCTGCACAGGCCAAGTAAGCTCCCTGACGCTTTTGGCTGCACAACCAGCCGCAGAGGCCACAGGACACAGAAGGGACTGGACAAGAAGCCCCGATGCTCTTTAAAATGAGAGGCAGCACACCCCATCTTCCAGAGCAGAACGCGGACGGTTTCCTTTTTGTAGGGATGAGGAAAAAGAGATTTCCAAGACTGTCTGTGGTTCCTCCTTAGCCTAAGAAAACAACACTGTGCCTAACCAGGGCTGCTTTCCCCTCCAGGGGAGCCCCGCCACCTCCAGAGCCGTGCTCCCACCCCCACCAGCACAAGCACCCCTCCTTTCGCCATCAGCACGTATACGGAAGGGGGTGCTACAACAATGCACGGAAAGCCAGAGCCTCAGACAACCCGCAGGGAAGCTCACCCTGTGGGGCTCCCAGGGCTCCTCGGCCCCCACTGCACCTGCCCAGCAAGCCCCCGACTGGCAATACTGGTTTCTGTCTGAGTATCTCCTGTGCCTAGCAGTGCCTGGCACATCACAGGGACCTGAACTGAATGGACAAAGAGGAAAGAGGCTACCGGCCACATGCGACCCCCTGACCCTTCTCTACGGCCCAAGAAATAACCTGGTCACAGGCACTCAACTGCCCTCCTGGACCCCTTGCAGGGACCGCTCCGATGTCTTCCTTTGGATCTCAGGCAGATGGGCTGACCGAAGCCCCCCTGCCCCTCTGCTCCCAGCCCAAGCTGCACGCCTGTCCCTCCTTCCTGGGGGCTGGCTCCTATGCTCTGGGTTGAGTCCCTGTCAAGGCCTCCTTTTCCCAACAAAAGCAGGACTGGGCCTGAGTGAACAACATGATCTTTGTCTTGGAGGGTGCGGAAAGCCCTGAGCCTGGTCTCCGTCTGCCTCTCCTTTAGGCGCCGTGTCCTGCTCGCCAGCCGCACCTCTTTTCTCTTTGGTTCCCATCATGCTCTCTGCTCTTCAGGTGTTTATGGAGGGGTCCCAGAGCTGCAATCTGAGCCTCCCAGGCTGTGCGGTTTCCTTGTCAAAGAGGGGTAACTGTCACAGCATGTGAGAGGAAGGGAGCCCTCCCTCCAGCAAGCCCAGCAAGGGGTCGCCTCCCAGGGCGACCGGCAGGAGAGAGAGGACAGTGTGTCGGGCACCCCGCTCTGCCCTGAGGAAGCACGTCTGGACTGGACGCACTTGGGGAAGAGGTTTACATTTTCTGTATCTGAAAAGAGAAAAAGTGGAGTACTCTAGGTCTCCCTATTTTAAAAAAACAACCAGAAAAGCCTTTATGAACTGTCCTTCACTGATTTTTCCTTTGTTCCAGAGGTCCTTGGAAGAAAAAAGGTCACAATAAAATCACAGTCATTGAGTGGGAGCCAAGCCTGAAAACCTCCCACCACACCCCCCCAAAAACAGCCTCCGACTTGCCCTGGAGAAGCTCCAGGGACCAGAACCTTCTGCAGCAGCAGCACCAGCCAGGGCCCTGAACCACCTCTGACAGTGGCTCCCATGCTGAGGGACCCCCAAACTCCAGGCTGCCCAGAGCTCTCTACGGGCCAGGCCACGTCCTCCCTACCGCCTGCTGAGGACGGCAGGTGGAAGAGAACCACCAACACCACCTCCATTCTCCGTGGCCACCGGTCAGCCGTGGGTCACCACGATGCTGCTTCACCCCCTGCAAACCTACCCACCTGAGATCCACTGAATGGGATGGAGGAGGTTGAGGCTGCTGAAGACGACGAAGGCCGTGGTGCAGACGGGCAAAAGCAGGACAGAGCAGACCACACTGGTGGCTATCCTCCAGCCGAGAACCTAGGGCAGAAACCACAAGGTTTGAGTCGGGACGTGAGCACGAGGGGGGTGAGGGGCCTGCATCCTCTCCCTTCAGGTGGCGCAGCCCCAAGCTCTACTGCCTTTACAGCCAAGTGCCCCGTCAGGGCAGCTCCGCATCAGTCAAACAGCCACAACTAATAATAGGACACACGGCTACAGGACCGTGTCAGGGTGGTTCACCCAGCAAGCCCAGGTGCCAGGAGTCGGGGCCGCGAGCGTTAAACAAATACCTGGCAAAAATAGAACGTGGAGCATGTGACAGGAGACAGCAGCCTGCCCTCTGACCTCCTCCTTCAGAACTAAGCTCACTGCCAGGTCAAAAAAAGTGTCCTTTTTAAATGGCTACATCTGTCCCTTTACCAACCGGCCAGATGCCACCTGTGCCCATGAGCTCAGCGATGGACACACATGGCATCTACAAGGGCAGACAGAAGCACAGAGCACAGCATCAGAACCATTTCCTTTTCGAAGTGTTCTCATAGAAATCTCCCAGGGAAACCCAGAGAAGTTGCAGCCCCGGAGCAGACCCGCCAACCCAAGGAAAGCTCACAGGGCCTCCAGGAGCTGGCAGAGGTGCTCCGTAGCAGGTCAGGGGCCACAGGGCCAGGGGCCCAGGGCCTGGGGCTGCCAGGAGGAGGACCATCCTTTCTGAGGGACACTCTGCCACCTGACAAGCCCTGCTGCCCACACAACTGCCCCCCCCGAAGGACCAACAATCCCTGAGTGAGGGCAGCAGTGTGCCGTCCCCGCGGCACCCACGACGGGAGGAAAGAAGAGCACTCCACAGGGCCGGGCATACAGGTGCCCCCCAGTACTAACTGACCCCGGGCGGAGGGACTGCCCAAACCCACTGAACAGACCACAGCCTTCCCTCTCTCAATACTGCTCCAGAATTTCCCCAAGCCCTACCACAGGATGCACTCAAATCCTCCCTTCTAAACAACTGGCCATGAGAGGAGGAGGGCAAACAGATGCACAATTCATGAACAGGGCGGGCGCTCTTCCCTGTCACAGAAGGCACATCAGCCTAAGAGGGCTCTGGGGGGGTTCCAGGGGACCATGGACATGACTAGGAACTGGGCTCTGGGCTTGCAGGGGGACACACGGAAGGGAAGAGAGCTGGGCCTCGGGCCACAGCGGAGGTGTCCAGCATGGCCTGGAGTCTCTGCTTCCAGAGAGCCTCATCTGAGGCCCTCCCAGAGGGGTGACCAGCAATGCCGGGCAGTGCCCATAGGGGCATGAGCACCCAAGCAGCCACAGGGGTGGTATACATGCACCTGGTTGCACACATGTGAAATGGTGTAAAACTTCCTGTGAATGTGTTTGCACATGAAGGTTTCTACACAGGAGGCCAGAAAAGGAGATGGAGGCAGAGAGGTGGGGGGCTGGACGACCCCTGGGATGCTGTACAAGGGGCCTGAGGGCCTTGAAGTTCCCATCCCAAACTTGGGCGTCACTGAACCTACCCAGGGCCAAATGCCCCATGCGGGGAGGTACCCAGACTCAGGACAGGGCCCGGGAAGGCCAGCAAGAGCTGCTGAAGATGGAGCAAAGGATGTGGCCGGACATGGCAGGGATGTCCTGCCGGCAGAAGCATGGAAGCCGAGGAGGGACGGGGAGGGAGGAGACGTGCAGCAGGGAACGCTGACCATTCCTGGTTACCGCCATGACATGCAAGTGGAAGGAGGGCAGATGAGAGGGCATCCGGAGACTGAGAGCGAGGGGGCCACGCAGGACGGCTGCATGCAAAGAGACAGCTCGGAACAGGTTGCGGTTGGGGTGAGAGCAGACTGAAGCCTAGACCGTACGCTCCTAGAGGGCAGGACCTGTCTTTGGCCTCTTTTTGAATCCCCAGAGCTTAGCAAAGGGCCCGGCACAGAGTAGGCACTTAATAAATGTCAATCAAATGAATGAATAGGCTATGGTGGGGGGGGCCGAGGGTCTGGGGTTCAAAGAGAGGTCTGGAAGTAGAGACCCGGGAGTCACCAGGGTACAAGGGCCACCCAGAGGCTGCAGGAGTCAGGGACAGGGACAGGCCTGCGTTTGAATTCTGGCCATGCCTTCCCCGGGCCCTCAGCTGGACCAGATGGCCTCCAAAGTGCTGGGGCGTTCTAAGGAAAGGAGTGTGGACAAAAAGGAGAGCATCCAACAGAAAAGGAGCAGAGGGCCAGGGTCTGGACCCCAGCTTTCCAGAGGCTACCTGTATAAAGTGAGCAAGTCAGCCTCTCTGGGCCTCAGTTTCTTCCCCTGTTAAATGGGGGTGGAGGCCCCCCCGCCCCCGCACATGCAGTGGTCTGGATGACGGCCAAGGTCCTTGGGCCAAAGTGAGGAAAAGAGGCAGAGAATTGGAAGAGAGCAAGGACAGGATGGACAGGAAGATGACCGGAGGGGCAGGAGGGACAAGAGCTAAGGGCCCTCGAGCCAGCCCCAGAGAGAGGTCAGGGCTGGAGGCGGGGGTGGGGGAAGGGGGAGCAGATAGACCCTAAAGTTTGCAAAAGCGCCCCTCCCCCAACCCCCCCCCGGTCCGGCCAGCCCAAGCGGGGAAGCCGAGGCCCGGGGGAGGGGCAGGGGGTCCCGGGGAGGGGGGGAAGGCGCGCGACCAGGCTTCCACCCCACGCCCCACGTGCCCGCGCCCCGCGCGCCCCCGCGGCTCACCCGCCAGAGCAGGTCTCGCTCCACGCTGGCCGCGGAGCGGGCGCTCCCGGGGCCCGGAGGCGGGGGCGGCGGGGGCGGAGGGGGCGCCGGGGCGCCGGCGGCCGCCGAGGCAGAGGTCGTGGCCATGGTGCCGGCAGGAGCAGCAACAGCAGCAGCAGCCGCAGCCGGTCCCCTGCGCGCCCGCCACGGCCGTTCAAAGGAGGCCGGGCCGCGCGAGGACCCCGACGTGGATGAGGCTGCCCGCGGCGCCGCCTGACTGGAGAAGTGGCGGGGGCGGAGAGCGGGGCCTGCCTCCAGCCGCCCGAAAGCGGCGTGCCGGGAGCTGTAGTCTGCGCCGCCGCGCGGTGCATGACGGGACTTGGAGTCCCCAGCCGGTAAAGAAGCAAGAGGGAGAGGGGTAATGAGAGCGCTGTCGGCTCGCATAGGCTCTCAATGCACGCAGCACTCGGAGCTTTCTCGAGGGCACGCGAAGCACTAGCTGGCATGCTGGGAAGTGGGGTGAGCGAGGAGGGGAGAGGAAGAGAAGCGAGTCGGCACGCCTCCATCCCGCCCGCCGGCGCAATGCACGCCGGGACTTGGAGTTTCCCGAGTTACAAGCTCAAATGACTAGGGTTTCAAGCCCCTACAAACCTCCTCCCACCTCTTTTCTTTCCCCTCTCTCTTGTCCTCTCCCCCCTCTTCTCTCCACTCTGTTTTCTCTCCCTCCTTCTGTCTTTTCTCTTCTCTCTGTCTCTTTCTTTCTCTCTCTCCCTCCCTCCTTCTCTTTTCTCTCCTCTCCCTCCTCTCTTCTCTCCTCTCCCTCTTCTTTTCTTTTCTCCTGTCTTTTGTCTCTCTTCCTCCTTTTCTCCTCTCTCCTCTTTCCTTTCCCTTTCTCTCTTTTCTCCTCTTTCCTCTCTCTCTCCCTCTTCTCTCCTCCCTCTTTTTTCTCTCTCTCCCTTCCCCCCTTTTCTCCTCTCTCTCTCCCCCTCATTCTCTTTCTCTTCTCCCATCTTCCTCCCTCCCCATCCTCTCTCTCCCTATACCACATACACCAAAAAACACTTTACTAAAGGCATAGCACAATCTACTGCAAAGACCTGCTGAATCTTGAGTCCGAGGTCCTGCATTCAAATCTCTGCTCATTCTCAGCTCCAGTGGGACCTCAGACAAGTGAATCACATTCTCTGGGCCTCAGTTTCCACATCTGTAAGATCCTTAGAACACAGCCAGTGACCCAGCATAGATGCAAGCACTTGCTCTGTGCCAGGCACTGCGCCCAGGGCTGGGACTGTACCAGAAGGCACACATCTCCCGCTCTGGAGCCTGCCATGCCTTCTGGACATTCCAGCCTGTCCTAGCACATCATCTGTGTCACCCCCAGTTAGACCCTACATTCTACCAGGGCAGATCGCCTTTGCTTCTCCCCGCTTTGTGGCTAGCACAGGGCTTTCTCGACCATCCTAGATTTTCAGGAAATGTGAGCAGAATGCAGGCAGCTTCATGGAAGACTGAAGTGGGAAGAGGGCTGGGTGTGGAGTCAGAGCTGGGACGCTAGATAAGTCCCCTAACCTCTCTGAGCCTCAGTTTCTTCATCTGTAAAACCAGGGCCCACAGATGAACTCTGATTGCTTCCAACCTTAAATCCATGGTCCTATGGTCCAGCGAGGGGGAAGGTTGACGTTTTCCTCCAGAACACCCCAATCCTCAGCCTACTGGGGGTGCTCAGGAAGTACTGGGAAACATCTGAGGGGAGGGGAGAGAATATCTGTCCATTGAACAGACATGAGGGCAAAGGCATATTGTCACAACTTCAATCCCACAAGCTAAATCAGATCTTCCAGAGCCCGGCACACAGTAGGTGTTTACTAAGCATCTGCTGATTTGAAATTGCTTTCCTGACCTTGCCCAGCCTCCCACCGTCCCTGTTCTCTGAACCCCTGATGACAGTGATGCCCTGGGAGGAGGGGGAGGGAGCCTTCACACAATGTACCACATCCCCAGGGGATTCTTGTCTCCCCAGCTACACTGGCATCCTTGAAGTCAGGAACCGTCTATGGCTCCCCTCCAGACCCACCTGGCCACCCCGGCAAAGCGGCAAAGTCATTGGCTTCCCACACTCCCCAGTGATGGAGAATACCGATGTACCCCTGGGCATCTAGCCTCGAGTGCCAAAGAAGCGTGGAGCCAAAGGTTTGTAGAGGGGGATGCCATGACCAGGAAGAAGGAGAGCCTTACCCTCCTGTCCTCTGCCCCGGTCTCACCACATCTGAAGTACCCCGTTCAGTTCTGGGTACAAGTTTAGGAACACTGGAGAGAGTTCAGAAGAGAGTGGCCAGGATCAATCAGTCCACAAGCATTTATTGAGTGCCTACTGTGTGCAGTACTCTGGAGACGCAAAGCCAGAAGCCAGACGGCCTTTGCCCTTAGAGGGCTTACATTCTACTGCAGAGGAAACAGACAAATATGGAATATGGACAAATTCCAAATTGGGGGAATCGGGAGAGCCCTTGAGCCAAGCCCTGAAGGAAGCCCCAGACCCTGAGAGGTGGAGGTCAGGGAGGGAGCTGTCTGGGTAGGACGCAAAGGCGGGATGATGGCTCCTGGGATGTCAGGTATGGAGGCAGTACCGGGAAGCAATGTGTAGTGAGATTACAAGGATGGGTGGAGGCCAGATAGCTAGGCTTTAAACCCCAGACACGAGCTGGTTTAACCTAGAAGCTTGCGAGGCAGGGAAGGGCCTCACGGCTTTGCTGAAGCAGCTCAGAACGCTTCACCTGGAGAGAAGCCCACAAGGGCTCCCAGCCTCCCGCGGATGCAGGACTTTGGGATGGGCAAGGACCAGTCCCAGTTGGCCAAAGAGGGCAGAAGAATGGGGTGTAAGTGGCAGAGGTCCATGGCGGCTTGATATCAGGAAAAACTTCTTACCTGTAGGCAGCCGGGTGATGCAGAGGCTAAAAGCACTGACCTTGCGGTCAGCGAGACCAGGGTTCAGATCCTGCCTCAGATACTCACTAGCTGTGTGACCCTGGGCAGCCCTAGACTTGACTTCAGCCTCTGTTTCCCCATCTGTAAAATGGGGATAAATACCTACTTCAAGGGCTGGTGTGGAGACTGAATGAGACACCATATGAGCAACCTTAAAGCATTATGGAAACTGTTACCATCCTAAGAAGGGGCTTTGCCAGCTGAGAACGGATGGCCCTGGGACCCCACTTGCGGTTGCCAAGCAGAATCCCGATGACTGCTTGTCAGGAATGCTATCCAAGGGATTCCTGTTCATTCCTGGGCTTGGACTCGAGGGTCCCCTGGGCTCCCTTCGAACTCAGCTCCTGTGAGTCGGGAAGCTCACCTGCCCCCTCCACTTCCATGCCTGACGTCCTCCATCCCACCTTTCCTACAGATTCTCTCATCCTTTCAATGCTGCTGCCGCCTCCAGGAAGCCCGTCCTGATGTCCCCAGTTACCACCCACCTCTCAGATCCTATCCTTTCGTTCCTCTCTATCCTGCGAGATCAATTAATAACATCATTATAACCAAGCGACAAGCATTTACTAAGTACCTACTAGATGCCAGCACTGCGAGAGGCTCCGGACATTCAGAAACACAGAAATATGACCAGGAAGTCTGGGAGCGGGAGGGGGCTTCCGAGGGGAGCGAGGCTGCCCACACTCTCCCAGTCCTCTCAGACGCTCCCCTCCACCAGGCTTTCTAGGCCCGACGCTGCAGCTTCCTCGAGCCCCTTTCATTCAGAGCCCTGGGGAGGGCCATGTCCTGGGGCACCCGCCCCGGCTCCTTCCCCTCCACACGCTGACTCATCTCCTACAAGGATGTAAAGCCTCCAGTGTGTCACGTGGCGGGGAAGACACCCATACCCATGACGAGGGAACGAGGCAGACTGTGACTGATGTGTGAGGCTGAAGCACAAGGGGCCAGGGCCAGGCAGAGCGGAGCCACAGGACAAAAATGTGTGAGAAACAACCCCAGCGTGGTGACAGGGCCAGCAGGAAGGCGACGTCCCGGCCTCGGGCCCCAGGCCTAGGACACGCTGACCTCATTTCGGCCATCCTCCCGCTCCCGTCCCATGGCGGGCACGTAAGCAAAAGATGAGTGTGGAGAGCCGGGGCCTTCTGCGAGGTATTTATTGCACCACCGTTTGAGTCAATGACCCGGAATCTAGTCACCCACAAGAGTTGGCCTTACGGTGAGCGCCTCAGAATCCCCCACGGGGAAGAGGGAAGCGAGACCCCGGCCCCCGCCCCAGCCTGGAGATGCTGGGCAGGAAGCATGGCATTAGGTATTCAGCACTGCTGAATTCTCACCCGCCAGCGAGAATGATAAATAATTCAGGTGCTGCAGACACAGCTCCAACCAGCAATCGAGGTCACAGGACCGCAGGAGACGGCTGTCAGGACAGATGCCCAGGTCCAGCCATGACGCCAAGGATGTGGAAGATGAGAAGGAAGAGAAAGCCCATCCTGGAAGGGGACGGGGCGGGGGCGGGGACTGCACAGCATCTAAGTTATTCCAGGGCTGGCTGGTCTCCAGAGACCAGGGGTCTGCAGGTGGGTCCGTCCCCGTCTCTTGGGCTTCCGTTAGTCTTCAATACAGGAAAAGAGACAGCAGACCTGAAAGTACAAAAGGCAGAATGGAGGAGGAAAGCTCACAAGTTGAACTCCCCCCCTCACTCACCACCCCTGTACCCCCTCCATGATCCTGGAACCCCATCTACGTCAGGCTCCCAAGAAGCATATCTCACTGCCATCTGCCCAATCCTGGCTGTACCACCTGCTACCTGGCTGGCCTTGGGCAAGCCAGTCATTAACCTCCACAGGCCTCAGCTTCCCCATCTGTAAAACGAGGGGGATTCTCACTCGCATTAGACCCTGGATGCTGTGGCCCATCCTCCCAAGGCCCAGCACATGCAGCCCTCCCTAATACCGTCCTCCTCCTCCCCAGCCAGAGAGGAAGCCCGCTCCTGGGGTCTTTTCAGTTCTGAATTTGTACTGATGACTTGTTTTTTACATCCCTGTTATTTCCAGATAGATTCCCCCCCCCCAAACACCCCTCTCCTGCCCATCAAGCCAGCCCCGTGGAGAAGGAGGGAGGTGAGTTTTCTCTCCTCCTCTTTGAGGACAAGAGCGATCACAGTAATTACGGGGCGTTTCATGGTGGTTTCCTATTGAATGGTTTACTCGGCCCCCGGCTCTCCTCGCTTTGCTCTGCGTCGGTTCACAGGACACTCCCCCACTCCCTGGAATGACTCGGGTCCGCCTCCCTTATGGCACAGCCAGGTTCCCAGCATGTGCCCCGGGCAGCTGCTTCTGCTGCCCAAGATGGGCACCTGCTGTAGTCCCAGGTCTTTGCTGCCACAAAAAGGACCACTGCAGATATCTGGGTCTCTGCCCTCCTGGGGGCTCTCCTTGCACACTGTGAAAGAATACCTTCATGGATCCAGCTTTTGTTTTCATATGGCC